CTCGGCAAAAATTGCCTTCGTGGAGGACTTTTTGATATAACTAACCCGCATTTGCGTTACACGGAGAGGAAAAAAAGAAAACATCCAAGGTTAGCCCGATGGCAAGGAGACTCTAAAACCCACGATCTGTCTACCACTGGGGATATTTCACGTCAGCATTGTGTTCGTTGCGATTCGTGTGCGAAATTCGTATGGACCTGCCATCGGTGGGATTTGAACCGGAGTCAAGTGATTGGGAGGCAAGTGCTCTATTCCCTGAGCCACCGCGGCTCTCATTCCTTTAATTTTGCAACCGTCGTTAAACAGCCGACCCAATTTCGAGTTTACGACTACGAATTTTCAACCCCGTAGCCTTGTAATTTCGAACCCAATCCAGAAGACAAGGGAACTCTTAGATCAAATATTGGTAGCAATTTGCCTTTGATGAGGGTTTTTTGATGGAATCAACCTGCATTCGCTTTACATGTTGAGGAAAACCACGAAAAAGTCCCACAATTAGCCTGACGGCAAGGGGAATCTAACCCATGATCCGTCTACTATTGAGAATATTTTACACCAACACTTTTGTTTCGACCAGTCATCGTTAGGATACGAACATCATTGGAAGGCGAGTGGTCTACCCGCTGAGCCGTTACAGGTCCATTCCTCTGATTAAATATTTTCAAATAAAACAATAATTTATTGGTTTATATGTTCGCAATTATCTTTATCATGTCGGGGTTCCGCCGAAAGGTTGATCATTTAGGTTTCCATAGCTGAAAAAAATCAGGAACCGCTGCTCTCGTGATCTTGAGGATTTCCGAGAGAGAATTAGAGAGATCGAGAATTTCTGTATTGAGAATTTCTTTTACCTTTTTTTATAAGAAATTTGTGCATTACAGAAAAATAAATAAATAAAATAAATTAGTAAAAATAAATACATGTTTCCTCAGCTAATAGCAAAAATAGGCGAAAATTCTGTTGTTTTTCACTCTAAGTACAGGTGCTACTTATTTAGCCGTACCCTTTTCAAGAATGAAAGCTTTAACAAAGAAAAGCTGTAAAGTCACCATTTGTCTGTATCGTCACTCTTTTGTATATCGTTTTGGAAGAATTAAATGTTTTACGAGGGTTGCTATTTATATTTCTGGCCTTGGCAACAGTATTTGTTGCTAGGCGACCGCAGACGATTTTAATCGAAAGTTTGATATTTTTAAACATAAATTCAGCAGACGATTTACCATTATAGCTTCATTTGTGTTGTTGACAGTAATTTGAAAAGTTCTTCTCTTTCAAAAAATGGAATTGAATCGTGAACATTTTCGTGCCATTATTTTTCATAACTTTCGACGTGGATTGTCAAGACAAGAGTGCTTCGATGAACTTAATTCTTTATTCAGCGATAAAGCGCCATCCTACAGCACTGTAAAAAATTGGTATAACGAATTTAATCGTGGTCGATGTTCGATCCAGGACGAATCCCGTGCAGGTCGTCCAAAATCCGTTGTTGTGCCAGAAAAGATCGATGCTGTGCGTGAACTGATAAAGCAAGATCGTCATGTGACATACCGTGAGATAGAGGCGTCTTTGGACATTAGTATGACTAGCATCAATAAAATATTGCATGAACATTTGAGCGTAAAAAAAATTTGTTCGCGTTGGATCCCGCATAATCTGACAAACGCTCAAAAAAAGGCTCGTGTCGATTGGTGCAAGGAAATGTTGGAAAAATACGTTCAAGGTACATCAAAGGCTGTGTATAACATCTACACAGGTGACGAATCATGGATCTATGCATATGAGCCGGAAACAAAACAGCAATCAACTGTATGGGTCTTCCAAGACGAGGCAAAACCAACAAAAGTTGTTCGAGGAAGAAGCACATCGAAACAAATGATTGCCTGTTTCTTCGGCATTAACGGTCATGTGGCAACAGTGGCGTTAGAGCAACGCAGGACGGTCAATTCTGAATGGTACACGACCATTTGTTTGCCAGAAGTCATCGGAGAAATTCGAAAAAAGCAGAAGAACAGGCGAATCATTCTTCATCATGACAATGCGAGCTCTCACACATCGACTCAAACAAAGGCATTTCTGACGGAGCGAAAGATCGAACTGATGGGTCATCCGCCGTACAGCCCTGATTTGGCACCCAATGACTTCTTCTTATTCCCACACATCAAAAATAAATTACGTGGACAACGATTTTCGACCCCCGAAGAAGCGGTTGATGCATTCAAAACGCATGTTTTGGAGTTACCTCAATCGGACTGGAAAAAGTGCTTTGAAAATTGGTTCAAACGCATGCAAAAGTGTATTGATCATCATGGAGAATATTTTGAAAAACAATAAAACCAATTTCTATCCTACATATTTGTTTTTTCACTATTAGGCCAGAAATATAAATAGCAACCCTCGTAGTTGACCATTATTACATAATAAAGAATTTTGTTTCGATTTTCATTTGCGTTCTATATTCTCCTTTTTTCCCCCTGAGGTCTTGAGGTATGTCTGAGGTTTTCTTTAGTTGAAAGGATCTCCTTGTGTAAAATGTGAGATTAATAATAATAATAAAAATTGCTTAATGCTACCTTGATTTAATTTTAAAATTTTGCTATAATAATTGTTATTTAAAAATCCAGAACTTATCATCCGTTACAGCAAATGGTAAATATGCTTCAGTAAATATCCCTAGTCATTGATGGATCAGAAATTGGAGTCAACTTGTCGCCGAGCTAAGCATAAGAGGTTTTCTTTTTTACGAAACGCAAATACAGATTAAATTTAACTTATTTGACTAATTTAACTTAAAAAGTGAAGTTGAGTTTCTTTCTGCGTGCTCCAAGAGTTTTCCTTGTCTTCTGGCTTTGGTGCAAAATTACAAGGGTACAGCTGAATATTTGATACGGATCAACTGTTTAATGCCAGTAATTAAATAAAAGTATTTTGGAAAGGAAGGAGTTGTATTTATTCTATATAGTTTGATTTTGATTCAAGGGCAAAATTTTTTTCATTTTTGCATTTAAAATTGAAAATGAACGTAAGTAGGAAATTTAATTATGCAATTATATATGTAAGAGTCATTAAAAAATATTAAATCATCAACTTACACAAGTATCGCTATTTTATTCTTAAAACTACTTTTTATCTTGGTTTTATCTAAAAAATTTACGAGCAATACAGATGAAGCGAAAAATGCAGACGAGTATTTTACATTTATTGTTTTTTTTTTCTTTCTAAAAACTAGGTAAGCTTTAATTAAATAAACGTGACTTTAAAATTCTTCGCATTTCATTTTTAGTGCATAGTTTTATAGTTTACACAGTTTCTTCTGGGATTTTTGCCTTATTAAGTCCTGTAATAGCTACATTACTATTGCATTTAAATATTGCTGAAAAAAATTTGAGATATAATAACATAATTGAGATATAATTACACAATTGTTTTATTCAAGAAAATTCTGAGTATGTCCCTTTCACAGAATTAAGTTTTAAAAAAAAAAATTTTTTTTTTCATATGCATAATTTCATTTTTTTCCCTTGAGAGTTAAGCGTTTGAGAAATTATTGAATTTCAGAACAGAAATTTGCGAAGGTACCAAGGTATGATTTACTCAATAGAACATAATTGTTTTATTTCCGAAAACTTTTGATACACCCCCACACAGATAGTTTTGAAAAAGCGGAATGATTCTAAGCAGATCATGTTACCGGAACTTTTATGTTTAACTCAAAAATTATGCCCTTAAACAATAGTTTAAAGTTCTATTTTAGTAAGGCAAAATTACACAAGGTAAAACAGAAAACAGCAATAAGATAAATTTCAACCTTATTATAAAAAAATTATTAAAATTGCAAATTTGGGTAAGGTATCAAATGAAAAGACATTTGTTAGTTAACAAGCAATTTTAAGCACCACAATTGAAAAAAACAATCAAATTTGTTTTATTGATTTTGGGGAATAAAAAATAAAAATGTATTATTAGATTTTTATTTCTCGTCAATTTTTTTAAACTCATTTTGAAATTTGCTCTACTCACATAGTTTAACAAGATGTAAAATTTTTTTAAACCCTTAAACTTTGCATAATTTTTTCATCATTTTTAATTTTAAATATTAAAAATTAACAAATACACATTTAAAAGATTATTTAGTTGGTACAATTTCTTATATGGCTGATCTAATTTTTTTTATTAATATTATCTCTGTGTTNCTCACCCGCACACTGACTGCAGCCAGTGATGCTTGACATCGGTGATCTGCTGGGAACCGTGTCTTAACGATCAGTCCGCTGCGGGACTGCATTAGTATATCTATATATATGCATTAATATATTTATATATATGTATATTATCTCGTTAAGCAAGCAATTTTAAGCACCACAATTGAAAAAACAATCAAATTTGTTTTATTGATTTTGGGGATTAAAAAATAAAAATGTATTATTAGATTTTTATTTCTCGTCAATTTTTTTTAACTCATTTTGAAATTTGCTCTACTCACATAGTTTAACAAGATGTAAAATTTTTTAAACCCTTAAACTTTACATAATTTTTTCATCATTTTTAATTTTAAATATTAAAAATTAACAAATACACATTTAAAAGATTATTTAGTTGGTACAATTTCTTATATGGCTGATCTAATTTTTTTTATTAATATTATCTCTGTGTTATTCCTATTTTCCTGCACAATTTGATTGAGCTATTAAGGCACTTTTGCACCGCCTAGAAATATCAGCACTGCTGATATTGCCTACTCTACTGATATAAATTTAAAAAGAAAAAAATATATATCATATTTTTTATTCAAAGCTGACAATTTTTTTATATTTATGCTATGCTGTTATCCATTTTCCCTAAAAAAAGTTTTCAGAAAAGTAAAAATGAAAATTCTGTAAAAAAAAGTATAAGTTCTTGTCAGATCCACCCAATAAGATTGCCCAGGGCTAACAATATTTAAAAAATCTTATCACAACAGCGCTCTTCCCTGCTGCGGCACTTCAGCACTTTACATTTTCCTCTTTCTTTTCTATCCTACTTTGATTTCCGCCCGCGCTTTCTCTTTGCGGTACGTAACGCTTAGTGGCGCTGTCTACGCTTTTTAGCGGTGTTACTTAGTTTTGTTGTTTTGATTGAAGGCAAGGTCTAGTCAGGTGTGGTGTTTGAAAAGACAGGAAATCGCCGCTTTTGGGCGATTTTTACCTGTGTCCAATTTGTTTTGGTTACTTACCGGCGAGTTTAAGTGCCATTTCGTTCTCTAACTCTCGTCGAAAATGGTGTGGGACGATGCTGTGCAGTTTTATAATAGAACATTCAATGAAATTGGTGGTAAGCCTTTTAATATTCCACTCACAAACCTTGTGTGATAGTATTCTTAGGTGTATACAAGACTGATTCACAACGTCCCATGTGTGAAATTAACCAGTGAACCGTGAATGCCGGGATTTTTAAATTTTTTTTTTTCAAATCTCATTAATTTTAATATATTATTAATGTTCTTTCCCTTGCTAATATGAGATTTGTGGAAGAGTGTTCTAAGTTTGTTCGAATAACTTGTAATAAATAAAGTAATTGTTCTGAAATGACGATTTTGAATTGAACAATTATTTAATTTGAAAATCGTGTCAAACGTTTCATTTTATATAAAAAAGGGAATTTTTAAGTTAGTTTCAATCTTTAAGAATGAATACAAAGAGTTAGAAAACCCAATGCATTTTGAAGAAAATTTATTGCAGTAAGTAGTTCTATTTAACGGGCTAGTATTTTATTGGGTGTGTTCTTGGCGCTGCTAGTAAAAATCGTGGTAAATCAATTATATTTCTCATTCGAAGCAAAATTTTGATTTCCATGTACCTAATTCCTCAATTTTAAAATTATGTTAGCGTACTATTTCACTATTAGTTGTAAATGACCATATTTTTTTATGCAACCAAAAGATTAATTTTATAGGCTTTTACAATTTTTTTTCCTTTGCAAAATGTAAAACATCTCCTTGCTGTTTTTAAATGCTCTCAGAATTTAGTGTAAATTATCCTATAAGTTGTTGTTTCAACATATAACAACATGCAAATGTTGATTTTGCATTTTAGAAATTCTGTTCATTAACACAACTAGATTTTTTATATTGATTTTACATAAAGCTTTCCTCGGTAAAGTCTTACATAAATGTTCATTGTAGCAAACTGGGCAGTCCATCCCAGTTGGATTATTAAGATTGTACTGTAGTTTTTAAAGCCATGGCATGGTGCATAGCATTTTTAAAAAGTGCTTTAAGGTGCTTATTTTCTTTTTATAGTAATGAGAAAAACCCTTAAAGGTGCTTTTTTCATTGGGTGTTTTTAAAAAGTGCTTAATTTTCCCTTTTTGAAAAGGGAATGTATTTTCGTTATGAATTATGTAAAAGTGTGTTTTTCACATTGTTTTCACATTTCACATGTTTTTCACATTCACCGTTTTCACAATTCATTGCACCACAATCTGTTTTGGTGTACCGCAAGTTTTTTAGCATATGAAGGCACCAGTAATTTTATATGTTTGATGAAATACTTGCGAGTCCGCGTGTAAGTCTGCTAAGCTGGGTTAGTGAGATTGTTGCACTCTCATGTGCAACTCTGTTGCTTTTTTGCAAGATATTCTCTATTACAGGGTTCATTCCCCCCCCCCTCTGATAGTGAACCAAAAAATCTCTTGATCATTTTATAATGGCTTATATAATCAAAAAATGAGTTCTTTGTTGGAAACTAGTTATTTTATCATGATCATGTAAAGTCTTTGAAAATGATTTTGTTGATGTATAGGAGTACTTAAAAATATTTTTTTAGTACTTAAAAGATGCTTATTTTTTGTTGAAAGATTTGGCTAAGCATCGTGCATGATGTTTCAAAAATACTTGCTAGCCCAAGTTTATGAATAAGTCATTTCTTTTTTCAAACCGTGACCTGCACCAAAATAATCTTAAATTTTGGCAACTTCTGAGCCGTGTTTCTTAAGAAACATCACAAACGAAGGCAAACTTGAAGGGTATAACTTGTAGCTATCCTCAGGAAAATCTCAACATACTTTTTTAAAAAAAATTTGCAAATTTAAAATAAAGGAAGTTTAGCCAAAATTTTTTAAAAAGGAAACTTGATTTTTGCCAGCTCTAATTTTTTCCTGTCACTACCTGGTTGTCGCCAATGCTTGATGAGTGCAAGTGCAGGTACCAAAATCTACTTTAGAAATACTTGTACTGACTAATAAATTTTTTTTTTTTTTTTTTTAAAATTTTTGATGCAGTATTTTCATTTTAGGGTTTTTGATACAATGGCTTTATCCATGGTTAAAACTGTCAAAAGGTTGACACAGGGTTGAGTTTTGGATGTCAAAAACTGGTATTTGGCATTGCACATGAAAAACTGTCAAAAAATAGGACAATTTTCTTTGTCATTAAGGACATTTTATTAGATAATAAGTGATGCACACTATTTTCTTATATGCTACTATAATTATGATTTATGATTTCTATCTTTTTTAAAAAAATATAGCCAAAACTATTGAAACTATTTGGTTTTGCTAAAAACACGGTACTCTTAATACTTTAGGATCAATATTATTTGCTGTATTTTAACTAATTAGTTTATAGGTAATAACTATGAGTTAATAATTATCTATCTAAATGTTGATTTGAGTTTTTTAATGCCAAAATTTAGTGAGATTTTTTAGATTAAGTAAAACTGAAGTGTTTGCCAATAATTGTCTGATCTTAACTTATAAAATTTATTTTTTATTCACAATATTTATTATTATTACTTACATGCGCTGGAGTAGAATTTGTATGATCGTGTGAGGTTTTTGCGGAAATTCAGGCAGCCATTGGAAAATTTTCAATTTAAAAAGCTCATACAAAATTTTTTTAATATTAAAAAATACTGCTTTGCAAAATTTTTCATTGTTGAAAAAACATATGTCCATTTAAGTAATTATTAGTTTAATTTCCTTAAGTTTATGAGAAGGACCTGGAATTTAATTAAATAATTTATTATTAGTTCAGTATATTTTGATCTCAATTCAAGAATCGGGTAAAATTAAATAAATTTTTTTCTTACATACTCTTTTCATTGCAAAAATATTTTGAAAAAGAGTTATTGTGATAAATAAAAACAAAAATTTACAATTTTGGGGAAATTTTGATTTAAAGAAAACTTTGTTCTAAGGAAATATTAGGCTCTGAGAATGCCCGTTTATAATGCACATGAATGATTCCAATAAATCACGAGCAAAATATATTCTGTTATGACTAAATTAATTATAATTTACAAAAAATATGATTGTTTAATTGAGTTAATAATTTTTCGATTAGTCAATTCCAGTGTTTAATTAAGTTACAATCACCGTTGAGTAAAGTAAGTTTATTAAAATAAATTGCCTAATTACATATTATTTTATTATGTTATAATAGTTTTAGTACATCTACATTCCAGTCTAAGCACCCTATCATTAAAATAGAAAGAGTAGTTACGAATTCCAGTCTTATTCATATAACAGAGGGTTTCAAAACTAACTTTTTGTAATCGCATACTTCGGGGAAAGAAGTAGTTAAAATGAAAATAAATAGAAATTATTTTTACACCTAGGTAATGAAAAAGATGATTGTTAAGAGTTTTTTTATTTTTTATAGATGATTGCTTTTTGTATTTTTTTTTTCAATGGTTGAACAAATGAATGATTGGATAAATTGCAATTTTGAAATTTTTTTTTTTAAAAATAATATTTAATATTTTCTACACCAAAATCAGGGTTTTTAAGAGTAATTGTCAAAAAGAAAAGAAGAAAAAAAGTTTGTTAAAATAATTCAAGAACATGATTGTTTACTTGTAATTTTATATATATGTTTATTTAAAAATACTTTATATTCATAATAGCTAATACAGTATTTGCCCTAAGCGTTTTTGGCAGCGTCTGCCTGCCCTTTGATCTCTATAAATGTGCTCTTTGCCTTTTTTTTTGTTAAAAAAAAGAAATAAGCTGCTGTCACTTAAAAACACTGCCTTTTCATTCATATTCCATTTTGAAAAAATTTATTCACTGTTTAAAGTATAATCGCGCACTGTTAAAATTAAAATTATCTGCATTTATAGGTTTCATTCTGATTATTATTTCAAATATGTACTTGGTAAGGATTATTCTGAACTGGTTAAATTTTATAGGTATATTTTTTTTCAGACCGGTGGATTAATAAATTTTTTATTGGTTTCAAATTTTAATTTTATTATTTTTTAAATTAATACCTTTCTTTAAAAAAAAAAATCACACATTGAATATTCATTTCTCTCATAAATTTCAGTTTAAATTATAAAAAAAGCTTTCAAGTTGTAAGTTGCTTGTTTATCAATTCATTATTTTTTTTAGGATACTTTTTTGAAAACTGTCACTTGTCAAAATCTTGCCAATCCTTAGTTCTAATCTGATAATTTTGTTACACCTGCATAGACTTAATATCATTTTCAAAAAATTCAATTTTCTAATTATTTCGAATGAATTTTTTATGAGAGTACTTTAAAATATTGTTAGTAAACACTTTCATAGCAGTTTAAGTAAAAGTTAGTGCAAAACATTTTTTTGATAAAGTTTGAAACTTCAAGATATTCTTATCACCATCCATTCCTTCCAACATTAATGGCCTATGTGACACTGTCAGGTTTTTGTTCATAGATTCATATAGAAAAGATTTTTGCTTTTAAGTTTTATTTAGCTTCTTGCTTGTCATTTTAATGCAGTTATCAATATAGAAAATTTCCAACATAACTAAACGTTATAAAATTATTTATGTACTTCTATAAACTTCTAATGTTTTTATCATTTTGAAAGTGAACATGTTATCAATGAATTTTCATAAATGATTTTCAATAACTGCTATTTGTTACTAATATTTGTTTAATTATTTTAGATCCTCGTGTTGCAAATTGGGTTATGACACAGAGTCCTTTTCTCACGCTTTTTATATGTAGCTTATATGTTTACGTAGTCAAATTCTTTGGTCCTAGTCTAATGAAAAATAGAGAGCCTTTAGACATCCGGTGGTTGATGGTTTTTTATAATTTTATGATGGTTATATTCAACTTTTTAATATTTTATGGTGTAAGTGTATTGGTAATTATTTCATTCATTTTCTGTATTGATATTTCATGTTATGTCCGTATTATATCTAATATTATGTAAAAATTTTACTAATTTGTATTCCTGAAATTGTTTCTTGTATTGTAGAGTTTGAAAGAACCCAGAATATATATCAGGGGTCTGTCTAGGTTTTTCTGACAGGTACCTATTTTGTGAAAATTTAGACATAATTTGTGAAATTTAAGAATTATATTTAAAAATGAACACAACAATATAGATTTATCGTTTTTTACGGGATGCAAAAATAAAATTTAAAAGAAAAGTATTTTGTGAAACTATTATTTTTCTTAAAGTTGAATTTGTGAAGGTACCGCTAAACGGTGGTAAATTTGACCTGGACGGACCCCTGTGTGTGTATATATATACACACAATGAAAATTTAAAATTATATTAAAGAATCAACACAAAAATATGGTAAAGTAAGAATTGTCACAACAAATGAAATTCCTTTATGACTGGTAAATTTCTACATAATTTCCCCCATATATTCAAAAACAATTAATTGCTATTGTGAAATTTTAGACTTAAAATTGTATCCAACTTTAAAAGTCCATAAAAATCATTGTCTATAGTAAATTTCAACTTGAATTTAATAAAAACATGTCTTTAACAATAGTAGCACTAAAAGTTATTTTCATTATGAGGAAGACTAGGTAATACAGAAAAAGGTTTCACAAAAAAAGTTTCTTAAAAAAATAAAGATCTCTTAGAATAAAGAAAATTTCATTTTAAAAAAAACTACGGAGAACACTCGCTATAAGCGTCTGATTAGGCTCCTCACACTCTCTGACCAAACACGTGCTACCTGTTCCCAGGTGGCAGCTGGGAACAGGTAGCAAAAGCTCCCCCTTTTTTTGCATCGTACTAGCGCCTTTTCTTCCACCTCAATTGAGGAACCGAGGCACTGACCTCCTTTTCTCCCGCAGCATTTCGGGATCTTGGCATGCTCTTAGCCAAGCATTGGGAGGGAATAAAATTTTTATACTACATCTTAGTAGCAATCCTCGGAGGGTATCATTGCAAGCAATGTATAATTAACCAGGGATTTATAGTTTTTTACTAGGATACAGAAATAAAATTTAAAAAAGTCGGGAGGAGAATCTCAAAACCTGATTTTTTAACAGTATTTGCGAAACTATCTTTTTTCCTGAAGTTGAATTTGTGAAGGTACTGCTGAACGGTAGTACATTTGTCCTAGACTGACCCCTGATATATATATTATAAACCTCAAACAAACCTTGTCTTGATCATATTTGGGATTTGTATTAATATAGTTAACCATATAGTTGTAGCAAAAAAATTTGAATGTTCTCAGCATCTTAAAATTTATAACACTTCTATTTCTTTTTATATATATAGCTATTTCTCCAAAATTTGTTTTATCTTCTGACACCTTAAAAAATGTGTACATTTTAAGAAATAGAATAACTCTTATTAAGAAACAGAAAACAACTCTTATTAAGAAATAAAACATTATAGTATCACATAGAGGAAATAGTATTTCTAATTTAATGAGTTATAAACCAGGGGCCTGTCCTGGCCAAATTTACTACCGTTTAGCGGTACCTTCACAAATTCAACTTTAGGGAAAACGGTAGTTTCACAAAATACTTTATCTTAAAATTTTATTTTTGAATCCCATAAGAAACGTTAAATCAGTATTTTTACCATATTTTTGTGTTTATTTTTTAATTTTCACAAATTATGTCTAAATTTTCATAAAATAGGTAGATCTCAGAAAAAACTAGACAGACCCCAGTAAAAATAAAGTTGTTAAAAGTATAATTTTAGAACAAACTACAAGATTGTCGAATATGCCTGCTTAATATAACATGGACATAGTATAAAAACATTTATGGACAGATCAGTGCAGAATACTATAGTGCAAGCAATGAAGGTATAAGTTTATAGGAATGTTGAATTTTAAGCTTAATTTAGTCTGATATTATGCTAAGAAGGAGGTTAAATTTATCTAAAACTCTGGGCACACCTACAATTTTTTTTCTTTTCAATGTCTTGTATTTGTAGATCCTTGCAATAGTTTGTATAAGACTTAAGAAATATACCTTACTTCAATTATTTAATAAAATCCTTCATTGGGATAGATAACTTAGAAAAAATTACACAATGGAATTGTATTACATGAGAGAGGAATTGAAAATATATAGCAGCACATATAAAGCTGGTTATATCTGTATACTATTTTTAAAAATAATTTATGGCATTTTCAGTTAGTTGAGCTCAAGGAAATTCAACTATTTAATTTTAATTCTTTTGTGAACATCCATTTTTATCAGTGTTTGAAAGAGTAAATAAAATTAAAATAAGTTGAACGTGTTCTACATTTTTTTGCGACTTTTTGCTTACGCCCGGCTAACGGAAAGTACCCAATTTACATTTTTTTTAATACAAATTATAAATAAATGAATATTTTTTCATTTTCTGTCACTGAGATTTTAAAACAAGTTTTTGTTGTTTTGTTTCTATTTATAAGATGACTTTAAAAATTTCATCTTTTAAATGATTACAATATTTTTTTATATTTTAGTTTGGAATTTATGGTTGGTTTGGTTCATACAGTTATAAATGTCAGCCTGTTGATTATTCAAATAGTACTGAAGCACTTGGTGTGAGTAAATTCTCATTTATTATTTTTTTAAAATATTTATAAAGAGGAAATCTATTTATTTGCAAATATTTTATTAAAATGTTTAAATTGCACTATTTTTTTTTATTAAGACGCAACACATGGATTATTTTACTTCTACGATTATTTTATGTAACCCTATTAAAATATACTATAATGTATATAGTAAGTTTACTTTTATTATATTTTTAATCATGTGAGATTTAATTGCTGCCTAAATGTTTTCATCAATTTAGTAAATCTGAGTTTATTTTTAGATTACCTCTAAAAAGTTTCTGTAAAATATAATTATTTTGATAGAAAGTTGAAATTTTTTTATTAAGAATATTTATAGTTTAGTTATTATTTCGTATTTTATTGTAAGTTTTTAGTTATTTCATTCATTTAATATTAGGAACAAAGTTGTAAGATGATTCTTTTCTTTCCCACTTGTTTATTTTGTACTGGAAGAAAGTGGGGGAAAAAACAGAAGAAACCAAAAAAAATATAAGAAACTGCTCAAATGGAAAAAACTAAAAATGTCCGATGCTATTGCTTGGTGATAAATATTATAAGAATAGTTTTATATTTATTGTTTTGAAAAGAATTTTAAAACTTATATTGCATAAAAATAAAATATTTTTAATTTGGATTTAAGTTATTCTTATTTTCTTTAATATGTACATTTATACCTCAATTAATATGTGTATTTATATTTTTTTCTGTTTACTGAATATCCTGTTTTTAGTTAGAATCAAATGAAAAGAAAAACTAAGATTTTCCTTTACTGTTTTAATTTTTATAATGTTTTTGGAATATTAATTTATTTTATAGCTATTTTAGATGCTAATTTTTATACCATATGGAATACAGAATTTCAGAATTTTTATACCATAAATTTATTTTTTAAGATATTATTTAACAATAAAATTACGAGAACTAATTTTATACTGAAGTTATATTTGTAAATTCTAAGCATAATACATTGAAGTTATTATATTGTAAACAAAATTACTATGCTATTATATATTGTAACATTGGTTTATTAAAATAAATACTCTACATAAAAAAAAAATGCAGTTAAAAAAATTCATTATTTTTTTTTAAGAATTTTCAGTTTAGTATAACAAAAAGGTTGAAAAATTATAATTTTTCAATTATTCATTAATGGAAATTCATTAATTTGTTAATAAACATTCAAACTTAAACATTTTTGTTCAAATTTCATAAATTATGATTAATAATGTTATGATTATGTGGAAATGAAATGTCTATTAAAAATACCTATTCAGAAGTATCTTCAACATATTATCTAATAGGTTTTTGATTATCATATTTAACAGTATTTGATTATGAAAGCAGTATGTTATTTGTAGTTGTGATTTGTTAGTTTTAATTGTATTTCTAAAATGTTATTATTGTTTTTGATACAATTATAAGATTAAGTTCTACTTACTATACTTTATGTAAAACATCGAAGGTAAAAAATTTTCAAAAGTTAAAAAAAAAAAAAACTTTTCCACTTAGGTTGGAAGAAATTTATTTCTTTTGAGGCAGTTTTTTCCACCTTTGGAGAAACTTGCCCTCCTTAGTTTGAACTGATTTATTGCATCATAATGTTTTTGTAGTTAAATACTACAAAAACATTATGAATGCTACTTTAATGTGTTTATATAATTTCAATTGAGATGAGAAGTTTTTAAGATTATGTTAATGAAATCTGTTTCATTATATTCTCGTATTTGTTGTTCATGATTTTGATTGTTGGTTGATTATTGCTTTAATTTATTTCAGATGTTGAAAGTTTGCTGGTGGTTTTATATATCAAAGATGGTAGAGTTTACAGATACAGTAAGTATTGAATTGATTGAGGGAAAAAAAAAACAATAGAAAAATAGTTCTAGTAGATCTTTTAATAATAATTCTTTATTATTACTATTTTAAAAATTTATTAAAATTATCAAGTGTTAGAATTCTTTTGGTAATATACATTATTGGTCATTTTTATTTTTTAAAAAAAAGCTTAGTTGTGAAGTGCTATTTTTATATATATATATACAGGAGGATTGATTTCATCAGTTTAACTTTAAATAAGGGCTGAATTTTGACATGACAGGCATTAAAAAACTGATTAAAACCATTAAAAACTGCTAGAAACCAAGTTTTCATGTTATAAAGCGTGTGTAGATGTTTGAGTATTATATTGAGAAAAAATTATTTGAAATGTAGATATATACTAGTATATAAATGCATGCTAATATAAAAATATTAGTATATAAATATTAGCTTATAAATATTATGTAATTGGCAATAATTATATTCAAATAAAAATAATGATTTTGAGCCGAAGAAAACAATTTACTTTATTTTCATATTTTCTTACTTTATTTTGTTTGAGTGCTCTCATTTTCAAGGAATTTTTTAGAAGGCTTGTTGAAATCTTTTTATAGTGCAATGCAATTAATATTTTAGTTTTCATATTGAAATTTTGTTTCATTGTTATATATCTTTGAAATCTAATGAAAAAGCAATATTAAATTAAATTTGATTTATTTATTGACAAAATAAAAAGCTAATAATGAAATAAAATAATTAATAAAAATATAAGGAAACTATTCCGAGCGATCTGCATTTCTATAAGTTCTTATAATATTACCTATGTTTCTAATAATATACATATTACCTTTTGATATAAAGGTTAGTTTGATTGCATAAATAATTGTGTATTAGAATAGTTTAAAATTATTTTTCTGTTACTGGAAGATCTTTAACTTTACAACTATTAAATTTTGCAGCAGATCTTTTTTTTTTTTTTTTTTTTTTTTTTTTTTGTTTTTATTGCATTAATTCTGATATGTCTAATCTTAGACCTTCAATTACTATATTTTAGTGTAGTGTTGCATACCTTTTTGGTTTAGGTAAACAGGATTAATGCTATAAATGACTATAATAATCCTTATTTTGATAATTTTTCTTTATTTAAGGATCAATATGTGTACAGTTAAACTCTTATATTGCAATCATTGATTTGAAGAGAACCCTGGGTCATTGAATAGGGAGAAATCAAAAAATTTTATCAATCTTAGACCTTCAATTACTATATCTTAGTGTAGTGTTGCATACCTTTTTGGTTTAGGTAAACAGGATTAATGCTATAAATGACTATAATATTCCTTATTTTGATAATTTTTCTTTATTTAAGGATCGATATGTGTACAGTTAAACTCTTTTATTGCAATCATTGATTTGAGGAGAACCCTGGGTCATTGAATAGGGAGAAATCAAAAAAATTTATCGATCTGGAAAAATCAAGGATATGTTTTTTGTATCAAGTGAAGCTCTGGTGCATGTGTTTAGGAAGTTATGGGCTAGCCCATGTCCTTAAACTTCTCACAATTTTTTGGGTTTCTACACCATGCTAAGAGTTGAAACTGATAATCCTGAGTATAGTCTTAAGTATTTTTCTTAATAATTATTGAAATGTCATTAAGACTCCTGAACGGAAGGATTAGTGAAGTTGACCGAACTGGTTGCCAAAGGTGGCTAGTATAATAAAATAGGAAAGGATTCTATTTTATGAAATTTTTTATACTTTTTATAATACACTTATTAAAGTTTGACTTGCAAACTTAAAAGTTTATACTGTCTTTTTTTATGTAAGAGATTGATTGCATAAATTATTAGAGTGTTTAAAGTTTATTTTCTATTATTTGAATACCTTTTTAACTATACTCTACTATTTTATTTATTACTTTATATTTTGCCATCTCTGCAGAGGATCAAAATTATGATGGCATATCTTCAAATCATTCTCAGGGATGTTTCCCAAACCATTGTCTAGTTCTTACCTGACCTAAATAAAGTACTACTTCTTTATTATGTTATAATTTGTACATTTACCAACTATATATTTTTCAACTATATAACTTTAAGCAGATCTATAGTGGTCTGCAAAGTATAATTATTAAATAAATGGGTTGTAAGTTCCACATTATTTTTAAAATTGTAAAGCCGGTATGTTTTATGATATTCTGTAAATAACCATTGAACAATATAACTTGTCAACTGTAAGCAAAATAACTTTTTTTTTTCTGAAATAATATGGAATTTTCTTTGCAGATATTTTTTGTTATGAGGAAGAAATTCAATCAAATTACCACCTTACATGTAGTTCATCATGGAATATTGCCTATGAGTGTATGGTTTGGCCTCAAGTTCACTCCAGGTAATTTTGCATCCATTGGATAGATATTAGAATTTAAAATGATAGATTTATTTTTCCAGTGACATTATCAAATTATTCTATCTGGATCTAAGGGTGTTAATATTGAGTAAGGTCAGGGTTCATTCTAGGCAGGGTTTGTGGGCTGCCTCATTTACCCTTGTGGGGAATTATATTTATGGACTATGTCAACCATCATCTATCAAATAGTACCTCTTGGTAGATGAAGGTTTACGTAGTCGATAAATATATCCCCACAATGGTGACCTGCGAACGTGATATGAACTTGTCAACATTATTGGATGGTTCACATTAAGCAATTGATTTGCTTAAAAATATATTGCTCAAAGAAAAAGGAAAGAGAAAAAAAATCCGATGAAGTAAATAAAGTCTCCTGGTCAATAAACAAAAATTAAGAAGAAAAAAATGAGCGAAATGCTATAAACAAAAAATGAAAGAAAAAACTGAACAAACGTATCTTATATACTAGTGATTTGGTATTTAATATTTGTAGTGGTAGTTACGCCACACCCTTTAACTAAAAAACTCCACCCTGCATGCCCAGTGACCCTGATTACGCACCCTGACATATTAAGGGGGGGCGGATCATGTTGATTTTTTGATAAATCCGCATAGTTTTCTGATAGTTTTTTATTATTGCGAAAATTAAGTTATCAGTAACTGTATCACTTTTGCGTAGTTGCCAAACCCTGGTTATAAATAAAATAGAAGATTGAGAAAAAAAAATGCAGAAGAAGTGTCTAAAAATGCTGAAAATTTCTATTGCATGTTAATACATTTATATAAAATAAAGCAGATTTTAATATTTATTATTTCATTAAATCCACTATAATATAAGAAGCTTAAAAAAAAAAAGAAAACTTTTTTTAAAACACGAAAAGAAGGATTTTTGACCAGCTACTTGATGGCACAATAATATTCATTTATTAGTTCTTGATTACATGGAAAGGTAAAATATTTTAAGTCTCATAAACATTAAGTTTCATTGAAACATAACATTTAATCTATAGTATGCAATATTACATGTATATAAACTTAATTATATATATATCTTATTTATGTGTATTGCATATATATAAAAAGAATTACATTATTTAAAAAATATATTTTTTAAGGATGCTTTAGTAGCACTTTTTACGTTAATCAAACATTCTTTTGAACTCCTAGTTCTGCCATAACTATAATTCTTTGCTATATCAGTATTATGAAATATCTTTTTAAAAAGTTTTCCAGCGTTATCAGTAAACTATGTTCTACTGAAAATGTTGTGAAGATATATTTAGTATTTGTCTCTTTTATAATGGTTTCCTCATTAATACTCATTTGAAAAAAAGAAACTATCTTTGTTGAACCAAAAAATTCTTTGTTCTTCTGCTGTTTCATCAATTTTACTTATCTGACTATATCAGTCTTACCACCATACGCGATGCTATAGTCATTTTTACATATGTTGCAACGTAGATTGTGTACTCCAAGATTCGATCTAGAAGGAAATGGAAGTTTAAGAGAATAAGTCTCCTTAAAGGCTTGTGTGTATTGTTTTTGTTCAGCCATAATAAATGAATAGTAACGAGATTAATTGAATGAGAAAATATTTTCACCGCTATTTCTTTTTAACGCATGCCATTTTCTTTCAACCTTTGCTTTCGTGTTGGCATACAGGAAATCACGTGATAACAGGGAGCACTCTCACAGAAGAAATTTTAATTCCTCCCCTCATAGATAGATGAGAAGAGAAATCCGTCACACCTTGGAGTGAGGATCACAGCAAGCAGACTCCCCAAGGTCACTGCAAGAGGAATAGCGACATCTGAATTAAAGAAAATAAAGCTATTGGCAGGCAAATTAAATTGCTGAAAATTTTATCTTATGCAGTGGAAAAATTGCTAAAATAAGTAAAAATGCGGAAGGGTTGGCAGCTATGTTTTTGAATATCTTATTTGAAAATAATAAAGTAATAGTCAATATCTCTATGGACTTTTAAAATTGTGGTTGTTTGTTCCTCATTAATATGAGAGGTACTTTTATGATTTCTAGCATACCTCTGTTTATTCTGGTTTTCCACTTAAATATTAATGTACTAATTATTACAGTAAAAAGTTCCATGCTTGGAATCATGTGGTTTTTATAAGTGCCAGAAAGATTTTTTGACAAAAGCTTTATTACCTCTTTCCTTATATTTTTATGAGGTTCTCATTGTAAATAAGTATCAAAATATACTTTGTTTGATCTTATGAATCTGAGAGATACTTTTATGATATTTTACAGTAACACTGTTCAGACTTGTTTTCTACTAAAATATTAATACAGTAGTGTAGGTTTACCTCTTAATGTACTAATTACTATTGTAAAGCAGAGTTCGAGATTTTTTTGATTTAAATCGGATTTTTTTGATTTAAATCAGATTTTTTTGATTTTTATTCAAATACACTGTAAGAACTTTAATTTATGATTAAAAAAAATTATAAATGTTCAATCAAATTAACTTAATATTAAAACTATGTTGTAACAATATTTTAGAAACTCTAACTAAAATAATTTTTCATTATAATACATGGCTTTGAATGCATAGCAACTGTTTTGAAAGAAATGCATGATTAAAATTTAAAGACTAGATCAAATAGAGAATTTAAAGAATACTTCAGGGGTCTGTCTGGGTTTTTCTGAGAGGTACCTATTTTGTGAAAATTAAAAATTATATTAAAAAATCAACACAAATATAGTAAAAATATGGATTTAT